AGCTGACATGTTCTTTTGCTTGCTTGTTGGCTCCCAATTCTGGCTGCTTCGCCCTTTGTAAGAAGGGTGCCCTAAACCCAAGAAAATGTGTCCCCTTCACTGACCAGGGTGTTTTTATCACCAAAAAAGAAAATGCATAACCCACACACACATTATCACCAGCCAAAAGAGAGCATAAATCTGCAGGAAAAGCACATTGGATAATTTATACATGCAGAGCTGTAAAGTCAGAAATCTTTGGCAGAGTTTAAGCAGAAATACAAAATCTCCCCATCAACTCTGGCCAGATAACCTTTATTGTAAGCCGTCCCAAGATGCTAGTGGGGGATGGGGTGGAAAAGCTTTTAATAAACAACTCATAAATACATAAATAACTTGGAGTTGAGAAGCAACTCCAAGGTCTCCATCTCCTTTCTGGCCACTCCTGAACAGAACAGTCCTTCCAAAGAGGACAAATGGTCACCCTGCTCACTGCCTCTTCAGGGATTAGGTAAAAGGGTTCTACCGCAAAGACCGGATTTCAGAAGACCCCACACCCCTTTAAATAAAGCTGCCAGATTTCCTTGCCTCAATAGGCAGACTCACTAACTTGGGGAGATGGAAAGTTGAAGGCAGATTTGAAAAATGATTACCCCGAAGGAAAAGGGAACGAAATTTTCCTTCCCATGTGAAAAGGAACCATTTCCAATTTAATGCTTACAGTGCCAGCTGAAAATGTGAGCAGAATACTCTGTAGCTCTTTGCCCATTGCTCCAACAGGGTGATTCTGACATGCATATTCCAAAGTTATGCATTTTTTGTGAATTAAATCATGTTTTTTTATTTATTTATTTATTTATTAAATCATGTTTGAATGCCTTTTTCAAACATGCTCATTTTTTTCACGTGCATGTATCACATGTATGCAGAGATTAAATTCCAGGAGGTGCACGGATACAGAGTCACCACTGTCCAGCCACTTAACCCCAACCTAGCTGCACCACATCAGAAACATAAAACTGGGAAGAGAACACAAGAGCCAGTGTGATTTAGCGGTTAGCTGCCACGCCGCTTGGGAGACTGGGTTTCCTATGCCCCACTTGGCCATGAAGCCTCCCACACACAGCAAATTTCTCCCTCAACTCTGGTTCCATCGACTGAAATACAAGACATTCACTGAATGAATCGCTCAAGACAATTTCTCTCTGCAAAATTTCCTCTAACTAGCAAACGGTCCCTCTTGCAAACACACACCCCACAGTCATTCTCCAATGCAGTAACAATTTCTGTTTTTTTAAATGGACCTTTTGGCACGAGATCACACATTTCCCTAGAATTACCCCAAATCCCCATGAAATATGCCCTGCTATCATAAAGACGGCCAACATTCTTTTCTTGTCTTCTGGGATATGTTAGACACGCCTGATTTCTCCACAGAATGGAGGTATGTGTGTGGAGGTGCCTTTCTGTACAGGGAAGAATCTTTCCAGTAATTCTTGTCTGGTTACATGCTCCGCATGACACTGTTATCTCTCTGTGAGGCCCAAGGAGTAGTCATACTCTTGCAAAACACCTTCCCACTTGTTTTACTTTAGCAACCTGATCGACCAAACCAGGCTATTGAGTAATCTTGGCCTGGGACCGTCTAGCTGGGCATGTCGACTCTTTCATCCCACGGGCTAAATTCAATTTCAGAGAAACACTCAGGAGGTGTGTCTGGAGGGGCTGGGCTAAAAGCAAGTTTTCCAAAACTACACAAAAGCCAGGAAATCCCCCATTTGGTGGTTAGGGAATGAGGGCTGCTAGCTCTCATGTTTTGCACCTTGCATTACAGAAAACTCAGCAACACGGCCTTCTTTTTTCCATGCGGGTGGGCAAGGCGAGAAAAAGGAAAACCTCGGGCGATGGATGTTATCTGGAATAGCTGCAATATTTCTTGTACACTGCATGCAGTTTGCATGCATTTGAACTTTGCCTTCATGAACTGATCCTTTTAACTGACCCTCTTCAGTTCAGCCGGTTGCTTTTTCTCCCCATAGCTCCTCCCTGTGAAGATACACACACATTATATACTGTATTTTTGTATGTTTAATTTAATATTTATATTTTTGATTTATATTATAATTATTTTAACTTAGTGTTGTAAGCCGCCCCGAGGCTTCGGCGAATGGGGCGGCATACAAATGTTTTAATAAATAAACAAACAAACAAACAATTTCTGCAAGGTTTGGGGTTCCCCTGAACTTTTTGTTCCCCCTCTGCTTGGCCAAGGGGGCTGCCTTTTGGGGTACATGTCCACTGCAAGAACGACTGAGGCTTTGCTGGATGTTTAGTGCTGAAATACGTTTTTCTTTTAAAGACCCAGGTGTGATGTTTCCCTTGGTGCAGGACAAGTTCTGCCTCCATTCTGTGCTCCTACCCCGCAAAGATGGGGGTGGAGGGTTGTCTACACCAATTCTTTTCTCGATTCTTCCCATCCTCCTTAATTTGCCACATGCTTCTTTCCATCCTCTGAATTCCCGCTCCCTTTCCAAGGCCACCCTGACAACCAAGCTTCGATCTGGCTTAAAACAGCCATTTCAGCTACTGGAAAAATGTGACCGGACACATCCCACTGGCTCTTAGGGCATGGTGAAAAACCCCGCAGAAATGACCCTATGTAAAAGGGTACCCCGCATTATTCACTGGATGCTTTTCCAGCAACACAGTGTGGTTGAGGGGTAGGGAAACTTTCAGCCTGGCGGCCCAGTTCGATTTTGGCGAAACGCGAGACACACGTTCTGGTGGTGGGTTAGCGCCGAGGCAGATACAGCAGAGCCAGACTGCGGAAGAAGCACCGTCATAATTCAGCTTCAAGTTGCTTCTGGAGGTAAATATGCTTAAGAAGCTTTCGAACTTCTGAGGGTGGGAAAAAAAAAAAGAATTGCTCAGGAGCCAAAAATCCACCAAACAATCTGCAGTCAGGAATGGAGGACCTGGACCCAAAGACTCAACCCCAGGTCCTGAAATCCCCCACCCCTGCTGCGGACCGGGCTGGTCCAGGCAGCCAGGATGCCAACTTGGTTTAAAGCAGGGGTGTCCAAACTTTTGGCTTTTCTGGGCCACATCGGAAGAAGAAAAATTGTCTCAGGGCGCAGATTAAATACACAAATACTAACGACAGCTGATGAGCAAAAAAAAAAATCTGTGGATGATTATGGTGGTATCCCTTGTTTGCAACAGTAGGTTGAAATATGATGGAAAATAGCTGCGCTTCACCTACCAAGTCACCTTGAGCACATGTGATGCCCGATGGGCTCGATACATAATTAATAAACTAATAAATAAACAATAAATAAAATAAATAATTCGACTTCCTGCGCTTGGGAGATAGCACATTGGAAGCCACCCACCCTGCCTTTAAACTGAAGCTATGCCTGTGTACAAATAGCACACGCACGTTTATTTGACGTGGCATTACAACACAACGTTGTTGTCTACAAGGTGCGCACTCGAGAACTGAGCCATGAAGTTAGCGAAAAATTGCAATATAATCTCATAATGTTTTAAGTAAGTTTACGATTTCGTGCTGGGCCACATTCATAGCCATCCTGGGCTGTCGGTTGGACACCCCTGCTTTAAGGGGTGTTCTTTTTAAACTTTGGTGGTGGGGGTGGTGTACAGCTTTGCCTTGCACTCACTAAAAATAAAAAAGGAGAGGAGGAAACTTGAAAAACAACATGAATCACATAGGAGAATGAGGACATTCAGGAAAAACAGTACACAGTTCATAGGCTTCATTCCATCCCAAATGTTGAAGATGTTTTTAAAAAGGCTACTCTAACAAGGTTTGCATAAACATCGGTGTGTATATTCTGCCAACACACCCATTTTTGTACGCAATGTAGCCCAAGTTACATGTTTTTTTAAGTGCTTGCTGAAGGCTGTACAGCTTCAAAAATTATTTTAATAAGCAAGGGAGTGTTTGTATCCATGTCATGATTGGAGAACTCCACAGCAAGAAATGCACATTTAGAAAGATAACTGGACTCCAATTCATGTAATGCTTAAGATGGGCAGTTGTCCCTTTTTATGGAGGTCTGACCTCCGAAGTGCCGTTCTGTCCAGTTCTGGTGTGAAGATAAAACACCATAAAAATTGTTGCCCTTCCCCAGTTAGTACCTGAACAACAGACTGGAAAATTGGGCGCGTGGGTCGCATAGTCACAGCCGTCCACTCCAGTTGGATGCCCTTTTTTTAAATTAAAACTCCAATAACCATTTCTCAATTTGGATCGAAATTAGCATATACAATCTGTCTTCCTTTGGAAACATAATTGCTCTTTTCCTGGCAATTCCTAAGTTGTTGTCCAGTCAAAAAGTCGTGCTGACTCTTTGTGACCCCATGGACAACATTCCTCCAGGTAATCCACAAGTAGCCACCCTATGTGAAACCGACGAACAAAAAAGCAGATTGCACCCCACGTTTAGTATGCAGCTGGGGAGCCCGTGCGGTGCATCGCACCGGGGAGACCCGGGTTCAAATCCATCCTCAGTCAGGAAGCACGCGGGTAACTCTCAGCCCAACCGACCTCACAGGGTGGCTTTGAGGGTCAAGCGGAGAAGGAGACGGTGTGACACCCGTGGGTGAGTGACTAAAGCGGAGTGCCTGAAAAAGGAGGAACATCCTGTTTACGTGTTCTAACCAAAAAAGACCATTCCCCCGCTTCGTGTACCCCGATGAGCAAGTGCCAGCGCTCCCCCCCCCCCCGCAGCTTCCACCGAGAGCATCGCCCTGGGAGTCTCCAGCCTTCGCCTGTTAACGCAGCGCAGCCCGGGGCGCTGCCCCCGGGGCTCGGGCTCCCCCGGCTCGCCTCGCGGGCGGCCCCTTCCCCGCCTCCGGAGCGGCTCTGCCGGCGACTCCCAGGCCGCAGAGATGCCGCGCCGGGCCCGGATGCTGCGCTTCGCCGGCGGCGGGACCCGGGGAAGCGCCGGGCGGACCGGGCGGGGGCGGCGCCTGGCCGGCGCTGGAAAGCGAAACCGGACACCGGCGAGCCCTGGTCCCCCCCGCGCCCTATATAACCCCGGCCCCGACCGATATAAGGGGGCCGGAGCCGCCCCTGGCCGGCTAGTCCTCCTCGCCGCCGCGTCCTGCAGGGTAGGTGGCCGCGCTCTCGCGCGAGGGGTGGGTGCCGCGTGTGCGCGTCGCGTGTGCGTGTGCAAGGAGGCGCTCGGGCTCGCCACGGGCACGCCTGGTCCTCGCCCGAAGGTAACGGAGCTGCAGGGCGCCCTCCTGGCTGGGCTTCGTAAAACAAAGCGGGGCCCCTGCCCGCCACCATTAATGGGGGAATGCGCGTCTCGAGGCGCGTTGGTTTGATAGGATCAGGAGCGACATAGGATCAGGAACGATCCTGGAGGATCCCGAGGCGGTGAGCTCGCCTCGCCGGGCTTGCCAGGGCGTGAGGCTGGGAAGACTCAAAGGGAGGCTGGTCTTTCATCCGAAGGATGCCTCCAATGGGCCCAATCTCAGCAGTGAGCAGGCGCAAATCAGCAAGGAAGCGGCACCCGTCCCTGCGGTTTGTACTTTGCCTGATCCCCATGGTCAGGTTCTGGGAGGTAGACTGCCTCTGAACACGGGTGATCCACTTAATGGCATGGGTACCAGTGAAGGCAACAGGAAAGGCTGAATCCACCCAGGCTGCCTTCTCGTTTTCTCCCTCTCCATTTCTTCCGGCTGGTCTCTCCCTCGGTTTCCTTTTTAGAAAAAAAAAAAAAGTCAGCATGAAAACCAATACGTATCGGCATTTGCATTTCTTCTAATATCTTGCTTCTTGGATGCCATTTCACTTAATGAGATGCATCCTTGTGAGTCATTTCTAGTGTATATTTTTGCATGCTTAGTTTTATAAGCACACCGAAGGAGAACTACATTTTGTGTTGGTCTGGGAAGGGAGCATTAGCTAGGTCTGCACTGACGTGCAAAAGAGCAGTTTTCCTCTGTCATCTCTAGCATCAAATTCCTTTTAAAAGCCTTCAAAATGACTGCCTGTCACCAGCTGGGCTGCTCCATTGCCTCTTCTTTCTCCAGCTGTTGCCAAACCGGCAACCATTGGCCTTAGGCTACCTAAAATGTTTCCATCTCAGCCAGCCGTGATGAACACTATACTTTTAAGAATGAGAATAGCCAGAGCTTGATTTTTACCTTTACCCTCCACATCTGCCTTTCCTCATCTGCCAACCGCATTAGAACGGTCTGCCTGAGAGGAGCGTCGTTCTTACTACTGATGTTCGCACATTGCTCTGGGAACCTTTTTGGTGGGCTAAAAAGGCTTTAAAGAAAATAACGTCTATTTATAGCCATGCAGATAGATGGCATTACAGTTACATCTTCCTTTTATTTCATCTTTTCCTTCTCCCCTCTGTTCACAGTGCCCAACCCCACAACGCAGGGATTCCCCATCGCCCCATCCCTGGACCGACTTCCCCCAAAAGGGCACGAGTTTCTCCCCACTGCTGCTGGGAAAGATGGCCTCGGAGGAGTGGACAGAGCTGGAAGCAGCCATTCAGAAAATCGTCTTCATCTTTCACAAATGTGCAGCCCAGGAAGGCAAGAAGGGCACACTGACCACCGGCGAATTCAAGGAGCTGGTGACCACGCATCTCCCAAACCTCATGAAGGTGGGCCTAGACTGGGGGGCAGAGGGGGAAAGAGGTTTCTAAGAACACGCAAAGCACCTGTGGATTTTTTTCTAACTAATATTTAAACAATATTTTAATAAAGTTTAATATTAACTATAGGTTTTAATTTGCAGCTGGAATGAATCGGGTTTTTAATTTGTATAATCTGTATTTTTATACTATGTTTGTTTATTTTATTTATTATTTATTTAGAACATTTCTATGCCGCCCCATTCGCAAAAAGCCTCGGGGCAGCTTACAAAACAAATATATAAACAACCATACAAATACCCTTAAAAATCTGGAGACATCTTGGCATAAATATAAAAACCAATAAATAAATACAATCTACAATTAACAATTAAAATAACTTTTAAATAAAAAGGTCTTGGCCTGGCACCGAAAAACAAATAATGACGGCGCCAGGCGGACCTCTCTGGGGAGCGTATTTATTTATGTAAGCCATCCCGAGGCGTTAAGCGATGGAACAGCATACAAAACCTCTAAATAAATAAATACCTGGGCACACTCCAGAAGATAATTACACATCCTAGTGAGGGTTCAATATTGGAGGACGGGGAGGACGGACCAGGGATAAGCAAAGTCTACCTTTTGCCACTCCTGTAGAAGACCAGCCTTGCGGGGTAGACCAAGAGGTCACATTCAAACCCTAGTATCCTGTTTCTAAGCGTGGTCAGCCCGCTCCCGAAAACAGTGGCCAGCTTATGTGACTTGCCCCAACCCCTCAACATTTGAGGTCGATCCCTCCTGTGTCAGGGGGTTTATCAGGGTAAACTTTCTGCTAGTCTCCCCTAACGTTTCTTTCCTCTTTACAGGACGTAGGGGATCTTGATGAGAAAATGAAGAGCTTGGATGTCAACAATGACGAGGAGCTGAAATTCGGGGAGTACTGGAGGCTCATGGGAGAGCTGGCCAAGGAAATCAAGAGAGAGCAGAAAGGGAAGAAGTGAAGGGTGTGCCTCTGTGTCCATGTGTGAGTGAGTGAAGGGGACAGACAAGAGGAGGGAGCAAAGTCTGACCATCAGTACGTAGGGGTGGGAGTGGGGAAGGAATATCCTGGGATATATAAACCCATGTGGCCAGCTGGAACGTCCAAATAAAAGCCTTTATCCTGAGCGGTTCTGCCCGTTATTTGCTCAGTAGACAAATTAGGAATGGGGGGGGTGTTGGAAAGCTGCTGAGGAATTCAGGAAATATTACTCCCCCCCCCCCACACACACACAACTTAAACAGCAGCTGGCCTAAGTCCATTCTGCTCAGGAGGGTGGAGTGATTCCAGAAGAGCATCTGTGCAAATCCTGCCCCCAGAATTGGTTACCTGGGCATGCTCTACCCCTGCAGTCGACAAGATGGGGCAACTGTACATAAGTGCATTTAAGGACCAGCCTCTCCCACTGCACAAGACGCCTGAGCATGCCAGCGCTGGTGCCTGCTGAACCCCAGCAAAGACATCCAGCCCCATGGACCGGTCTCTTCCCATTCAGGCTAAAACCCGGAGTGAATACACCCACGGACCTCGGAGACATGGTCCATGGCTGCACACGGAAAGCCTCTCTGCTCACTCGTGTGGCAGACGAATGCTGTCGGGCCGCCTGAACTACAGCGGCTTTCTGTCGCCCTCAACATGCCCCACCCTCCTGGAAGCGGGGGAAAGCACTGCCAGATTTCTCCAGGGGGAAGGAAACTTTTTCGATGGCCTCTCTGCACAGTGCTCACGCTGCAGAGAACAGCTTCTCTGTTTACCCAGCCTCCTCCATTTTGCTTTGATTTCACGGACCCTTCCAGGGAGTGACGGCCGCTGTTGGCTCAGCAACATGGCCGCCGCTTAGCATCTTCCACAGTGACCCGGATCTCGCGTTGTTCTAGGCGCATTATGGGGGGAAAGGGAAGCCGCCATAAATACCCTCCACCGAGAAAGTGCAAGTGAGAGTGATTATATTTAGGGAGAATTCTAAATACCTATTTAGGTATTTAAATACCTAAAATTCTTAAAATTTAGGTACTTAAGAATTCTTAAATACCTATTAAAATTCTAAAACACCCAAGCAAAGTTTTTTTCTGCTTGGGGGCAGGTTGGAGAAAGCAATATTCCAAGCCATGTCCGCTGAGAAATGTCATGCTTGTTCTGCTCACCAGTCCAGAATACTGACTGCATTTCTCGAATGCTCAACATTTGATACATGAAAATCGTGACTTTGCGAAGGCAGACAGGGGAAGGAGCACCCCTTTTACGCATTCCAGCCTTCGACAGCCCCCCAGGAATTATTTTTGAAGATCTGCACACCCTGGAAGTTCTCCTGAACTTCTGATTGCTCCTAAGCACAAGCTCCGGGCTGCGGAGTGCTCTTGGACAAGGCTCTGCTCCATCGCCTGTTCCCACAAAGAGTCAACCTTCCCACCGGCCGTTTTGGCTCCTCCTCTGGCCTTCAGCAGCTGCCTTAGCATGCCGAACTTGGATGCTAAACTGGCTGCTCACCCTCCCCCGGGAAAGCAGCCGCCCGAGAGCAAAAGACAAGAGTAGATGATTCGAGATTGTCTCCAGTTTGTGGAGGACTCTCCTCATCACCCCTGGCACCAGCTGCTTCTACCAACTTGCTGGAGCAGCAAGCGAAGAGCGAGTCTGCAGCCTGGCACTCTCCTTTCCTGGCCGCTGTTCTCCGGGCCAGGGCAAGAACCAAGTTGCAATGGGCAAGACCAAAAGCGAGTCCAGGGAACTCATGAGCTTTCACCTCCTGATGGGGTGCGGGGTGCGTATACTTCGCCTATACGGACAGCAGCACTGAAAGTTGGTGGAAGGAGATGAATCCATCCCTGGATGGGCAGTGCTGAACACATATTTTTTAAAAACAGGAAAAACAAAACAAAAAATAACCCTTATAACTATTTTTGACCTTGCCACAAATGAGTCAGCCCTTCACTGAGGAAGGAATGCTCACATCCACCCGTTTCTCCTTCCATCTTGCTTTTTGCTGTAGCTTTCCCCTCCCTTTCTCTTCCGAGTGCACAACCTTTTTCCAAAACAGGGAGGACCATTAGGTTCCAATTTGGATTAAAGCCATTTTTGCGACAACGGGGGCCAGGGGAAAGGAGACGACTGCAACCCAGCCCTGCTAAGCACATCCATCACCGGTTCTTGGATGCTTCCTAAGAGAACAACACTTCCTCAGGGAACAACACTTGCTGCACAAGCAGCATCCCAAAGGATTGCAGAGACAGAGAGAGAGAATGAGAATGCAACTTGAAGAGAACTTGTGATCCTTTTTGCTCAAGATACCTAACCTAGCTAGCATATTCTCAGCTTTTCATAGCACTGCTGCATATAGAAATGGAGCGAGTCAGAAGGGGTCTCCCGGACCATCTAGTCTGACCCCGGCTCCAGCTGGCTCTGCTCTCGACATGCCCACCATGAGGACGTCCAGCCTATCCTTGAACACCCGCACCGATGGGGCCTCACCCACCTCCCGGGGAAGCCCATTCCATGCCCTCGGGGTCCTGACTGTCAGGAAGTGCTTCCTGGCATCCAAATTGAACCTGGGTTCCCTGAGCTTGGCTCTGTTGAAGCGCATCCTGCCCTCCTCTGCAGGGGAGAACAGGCCATCTAGTCTGACCCTGGCTCCAGCCGGCTCCGCTCACGACATGCCCACCATGTGCATGTCCTGCCTATCCTTGAACACCCTCACCGACGGGGCCTCAGCCACCTCCTGGGGGAGCCCATTCCACGCCCTCAGAGTCCTAACCGTCAGGAAGTGCTTCCTGGCATGCCACCTCTTTTCCATCTCCAGATCCACTGGTCACCCCCTTTCCTCCTCTCCTTAGAAACCGAGGCGCCCCATGCTCGCCTCCAGCCTCTCCCCCACAGCTGCGAGGGGCTGAGGCGAAACAGAGCAGCCCCCCCTCCCTTGCCACAGCTTTTGCTTGTCGCACAGCAAAAGACAACCATTGCACTCTTCGCACTGTTGCAAAATTGGCGTCGGCCAGGTCATCCTGGGCGCAGGTGTGCGGACAGGTACCTCCTGAACCATGCAGCCGTTTTGGCCCAAACCTTCCCATGGTGACTCCGTTGAGTCAGGGATGGCTCTGTCCTTGGGAGCATTTCCAAATCTGTTCCACAGCTCACGGCCTCAGAAGATCACCCTCCTTTCTTCGGGAGGTTTCCCAGGTCCTGAGTAATGCATTCTCGCTCTCTCCCCCCCCCCCAGCCTCCCCCACCCCTGGTACCAGATAATGGCCTTGAACCAAGGTTACCTACTTGGGAACTTTCCTGGATCTTGCAGACAGTGTGGGTACCAAGAAACTCTTCCCCAGAACCCATCGTCCGGCAACTTCTGCTCCAGGTCGTTCCTTCAGAGTCTGGCCGGAAGAGAAAGCAGCAAAATTCACGCCACTGTCACGGTCTGTGCTGAAGAGCATGTCCTCATGCGCCCGCTCGGCCACGTCATGGCACACTCCAGCCACGGGAAGTCTGGGGGCCCAGGAGCCACAGCGATGTGTCCAGCAACTCACATGCACTGCCCGGCCTTCCCCCCCCCCCCCCCCCCAGACCCTTCAAAATCCCCCCCCCCCGAAAGCTGCACTTTCCTTTTTTCAAATGGAGCCTGCAGGAACCCTGCACCTTGTTTGGATGCAAATATTTATTTATTTATGTATTTATTTTGTATGCCGTCCCATCGCTTATAGCCTCGGGACGGCTCACACAAATAAACAACCATAGTGCAAAATACAATTAAAATTTGTGCTCATCAGGTCTGCCGGGAGCTCAGTGATGTGCCGAATGAGCCGCATGTCGCTTGCCCGCTTTTGCTTTCGAGGGCACCTTCCACGAACCCCTTTTTCTGGTCACTGTCGGACTTCAGTACCGGGAAGGATGCAGGCCGGGGTGGCAGGGTCAGAAACTGCCCCGGGGCACCCGGTCCGTGCTCCCAGCCGGCCTTCGTGGCCACGAGTGCTGGCCAGGGGGCGCTGTGGTACCTCGGCATTTTGTTGGAGATGTTTTCAGAGAGGTGCCAGGAAGGCTGGCTGCTCTGCATTTCTATTTCTATTATTTTTATTTCTATTATTTCTATTTCTTCCTATTCCTAGTTCTTTATTTTATTTTACTGGTTTAGTTTAGTTTAAAAATAAAATTATTTACTTATTAAAATGTATTAAAACCTATTTAATAAAATCTATAAAATTTATTACAATGAAAATAAAAAGACATTTATTAAAATTAAAATTTATTTTATGTTTATTTTTATGCTTGTTTGTGTTTTGTTTTGTTGTGTGGTTTTTATTTTATTTTATTATTTCAATACGGCCCATCAGCCAAAGCTCCCTTAGCAATTCACAACACAAACTTTCACCGCCTTACAGATGTGAGCTGCACTTGAAGATTTCGGTCTCCAGTTCATTTCCAAATCAGAGTTTACCTGTTTTCCTTTTCTTTTAAAGGATGGTGAGAAGCCATCAAAATGCAGGTTATTTTTATGCAGCAGTCTTCCCCAACCTGGTGCCCTTCAGGCAGGCCAGACTGCAACTCCCAGCATCCCAGCTGGTTGGGGAAATGCAGTTGTGGGGGAAAACGCCAGGATTGCCTGGGGACCTTTCGAAATCCTTCTGAAAGAACCCCAAGAAACCCCTGACGCTATGGGGAAAGCACTTAAATTCTAAAGAAGTGTTTCATTTTGTGGAATGCTTATATAAAATACAACTTGGGCTTTGCAACTGACTCGTTTATGGACCGGAGAAACAGGAAGGGTTCATCCATACGAGGTACAAAATAGAGCCATGCTGGATCCGGCCAAGGATTTTGGAAGTCTGGGATTCTGTTCACAGAGTGGCCAACTGCCCATGTTCGAAGCAACTGGAGTACCCATGCTTATGGCCTCTGATACAGGCAGTTGCATATGGCAATAAGGACTAGTAGCTTTAACTTATTTAAGAGCCTATGAGCAGCCCCGCCGGATCAGTCCGAGGGTCCATCTAGCCCACCGTTCAATTCCAAAAATGGCCAAGCAGCTGCCCATGGGATCTGACAAGCAGAACTGGAGTGCAGCTGCATGTTCCCCAAAACCCAGCGTATCTAGGTAGACTGACCCTGATGCTGAAGGTAACATAGAGCCCTGAGGACTAGCAGCTTTTGATAGCCTTCTCTTCTGCAAATGTCCGCAATCCCCTTTTAAAGGGAAGCAGAAGCAACTGCTTCCAGGCCTGGGTGTGATGGCTTTCTCCGCCTGGGCTACACGCCTGCCCTCTGCTCAACAGCCACGGTTTGGAGAGGGAACCTGGGAACCCAGCATTTATTTATTGTATTATTTATTTTCCTATTTATATCCTGCCTTTTTCCCTCAAAGGGCTCAAGGCAGCTTACATCTCCTCCTCCATCTTATCCCCACAACAACAACCCTGTGAGGTAGGCTGGGCTGAGAGGCTGTGACTGGCCCAAAGGCACCCAGTTGGCTCCATGGCTGAGCGGGGACCAGAACCCGGATCGCCTGAGTCCCAGTCCCAGGCTCTGAACCACGACGCCACACTGGCTCTCCCTGGAGAGAGGGAGAGCATCCCTGGAGGCCAGAGAGGAGGAGCCGGTGACCCACTGACTCCTTCGCATGCTGCCGGGATGCAGCCACCTCTGGGGAGGGGAGGGGAGGGCGGCTGGCTCGCCCGGGACCAGCTCAACCAGTCATGACGCTCCGATGGGCGGCTGCAGGTCAGGACTGTCAATTGCCTGGCGCCGGAAATGAAGCATCCCCACTTCCAAGGCGCACACTGAATATTTTTGGAAGGGTGAATGGCATGCACGCTGGAATTTAACCCCTGGGGCACTGCTGTGCTGCAGCAGGTGACCATAATAGCAAGATTGCCTCCTGAACCCACGCCGCTTCCGAGGCAAACCACACGCCGCTTCCGAGGCAAACCACCGAGCGCATGTGTGCGCATTTACCCAGGAGGGAAAAGTGGAGCGAGACAGCAGCTGCTTATGCGCATGAAAGCTGCCCGAGGTGTGGATGTGGACTTATCCACGCCGGTGCTTCACGGGGTACACACACAAGCCCCTTCCCACCCCTTAAGCACAGGAAAACATCCCTGGATGTGCCCAAGAAAGCGACGCACGATGCACCTTCTTGCCCTGAACCCATGCAAAGACTTCCCTGGGCACATGCACAGTTCTCACACACCCAAACATCTTGACTGCCTGACAGCGTCACCGAGATGGCCTGTCCTCGTCTCGCTTTGAGGAAGGACCCCTCTGAGTTAGGCATCTGGGCCAGGGGGCACTCTCACTTGCAGTGGGCAAGCAGCCAGCATGCCTTCCCAGGGTGCACCTCTGTCTGATGCTCTGAGAAATCCCCCAGCTTTGCTGGAGTTCCAGGCAAGCCGATGCGTCACTCTGACAACCAGCGGAAGTGGGATCTTGGCCCACCACCCTGGACAGCTGCAGCCAGCCCCAGCACCCTACTCTGAGGGGTCCGTGGAGGGAGAGACAGGGTGGGCCGTCGAGCAATGGGAAGGCCCCACCGCCCACCCTTCCCGACCTGCCGCCTAAGGGATTCACCCTGCCGCACCGGCCCTGGGTCCTGGCCTGCTCCATCCGCTGCTTCCTTCATGTCTGGAACACCTGCAAGACTTGGGAAACAGGCGCCGGGCCCCGAGCGTCGCCCATAAACCAGCCCTCTGCCTTTCTATTGCTCATCCGGTGAGCCATGCCTAAAGACTGGGAGATGGGTGGCACCCTAGCGCGGCACGCTGGCCCAGGGCCAGGCAACGAAGTGAGACAACGTACGCCACCTGTGCTATCTTCCTGAGGTGTCTCCCACACACACCTTCTCGATATAAAACCGTGGCAGGAAAGACAGCCCTCGCCAGCACACCAGATCCTTGGAAGGAGGTAAGTTGGCCTTTCCCGGCTGGGCGGCTTCGGTGGCCGGGGTGTGTTTTGGGGAGCAGCCCTGAAGGCGGGGGGAGCAGGTCTGGGGAAGACCCCTTCCCCTGCCTCGGCCGCACCCTTTCTCGCGTTGGGATACCTCATGCTTTGGACAAGTTCAGGCAGCGTTCGAGCATTCCCTCTTCCAAACAGGTTGCCGCAGCTCAGGAAAGATCGGGGAGAGGAGTGGGGGAACGCAAGGCAGCGGAGGCCAATCACGCCGTTAAAGAATGCTTTTGCTCCCTTCTGTTGCCTGCTCCAGGGGAAGTCTCCGCACTGACATCTGAGCCGACCGGAGGACCCAACTCGGTGCCTCTCCAGGAGCCGACGGCCGCACTGAGCTCCCGAAGGGGGATTTTGCCGACGCTCCGAACCAACGCGCTCAAGGAACGATGGGGTGCAGATGCTGCAAGAGGAGAAAGGTCATTCTTCTGGGGGAGGGAGCGGTGGGGGGATGTGGGTGCGCTTTTTGGCATGTAGGCAATGCCATTTGGAGCCCTTTCCCAAAACAAGCTCCGGGGTGGAGAGGTTCTTCTCTGGATTTGGGAGGACCAGATAATGTTGTGCTAGAGGGAATAAGATGGCATCGAACAGAGATGTTTAGGGCCGACCTCTTTCCTTAAGGTACCAGGGCGCCGAAGAAAGGTGTCTTTATTGCTTGTGCAACATTATAGGGTGGCTATAATGAACGTCAGGATCTTGCTGATCAGACCAGACGAGTTCGCTCTAGCGCCGTGGCTCTTGGGCACTGGGGCCTATAACGACTTTATTAGGTTCTCGGTTCTTCCCAAAGGGTTTTCCTTCGGAGAGGCACTGAAATGCTTCCCCTAGAAATGTCCCAGTGGGAGTCTCAGTAGTTTGAGTGTCCAAATGGGAGCAGTGCTTCCAGAAAGAGCTGGGATTGTGGCCAACACTGGTGTTGACTCGGACTGAGGACAAGAAGACCAGGATCTGGGAGAAAGCAGGAGAAGGAACGAGGTGGCAGGCATTGCAACGAGCAAGCTGTACTTAAGCTCCGTGCAGCGACTGCATACAGGCGACTCTATAGATGACTCAGTTGCTCATCGCATTGGGTCGACATACCAATAGCGTGTTGCAGTCTTCGCCAACCTGGTTTCCCCTGGATGTTTGGGGCTACAGCACCCATCAGCCCCAGCCAATCTACCCAGTGGTTGGGGATGGTGGGAGCTGTCGTCAACACATCAGATGGCCCCGGGTTTGGGGAAGTGTGGGTCCCACGTGAATGTCTGTGTGGCTACAGGTTGACCCCAAGTTGATCCTCTGTGTGAATGAGCATCAAGTGGAAGGAGGTTCGTTGAGAATTCCCCTGACATTGGTGCTTCTCGCCATATTCAGAAAGGGTTTCTCTGCTGAAAGGGACTTCTTGGCGGGGAGCGATTTACTGGAGTCACACGTGAGCCTAGCACAGCGCAGGAGCAAAACTGCCACACCTGCGAGGTTTTCAGAATGTTTGATGGGGCTTATCCTTAAATGCACACCGGGGATTTGCTGTTAGACGTTCAGTGCGATCCTGCGCCCTGTGTGAGGATTTTTCGTGGTCCTGGCAAGACGCCGATCTGGAAAATCGTCTCTGTTCAGTTGTGCAAAGAGGGCACGGGCTAGAGGTGCTGAATCTTTTCCGGTCTGCAGCCCGAACTGAATTCCAGTTTCAGAGAAGGGCTCAGTTCCAGGATGCGGGAGGCCGAAGGCAACACAGGTGAGGCCAAAAGCCAGCCAGACACCCCCAAAGCCTCAAACACACTAGCACATCTGTGCTGAAAGCTCTTACTGTCAGTAGCAAAGGCTCAAGAAGAGGCAAATATGAACCATTCATGACCTGGTGCTTGTGGAAAAGGGCAGGAATCGGCTGGTGAAGTGGCAAGGGGGACCTGAGCTTCCACGCCTTTCCTGTGCATCGCCTCTGCCCTGCTTAATATAGTTGGGGGCAGGAGCTGGTACCTTCTGAGCACACTCGGGTCTGCCATGGGCATACACACAGTGAGCACCTGTGTGCATCCAATACGCACCTGAGCTTACCTCGTGCTCTCAGGTGCAAACAGCTGTCTGTAGAAAGAGGGTGGATTCTCTCCGAAGGATTAAAAAGGATTTGGCAGTGGGATCACCCCATCCAGTGCAGTGAAATCTAGAATCCATTCTACTTGGGCACGCAGAACAGTCCTCAGTCTGGCTCCTCGGGTGTCCTTCTGACCTTCTCCCCTTCTTGGAACAGACCCTCATTCTGCTGTCCTCAGCCAGGTGCTCTCTAGATGTTCTGAACTACAACTCTTATCATCCTTGATCACCTGCATGCTGACGGAGAGGGCGACGGAGGCCGAGGTTCCAAGTATCTGGAGGGTGTATTGCTGGGGAAGGCTTGAGCTAACCAGAAGAGAAGAAAAATGGACACCACCAAGTCCTGGGATGAAGTACCAAAAGCCTCTTAATTTTGGGAGAGGATAAATTGATCAGGAGTTCACCAAACAAGCCTGTGGAAAATGGTGGATGTCAAACTGTATGTTTTCTGCTGCCCTGGAAGATGTGATACTGATCCATCCCGGTCATCTTGGGTTTTATTAAACGGATGCAAAGAAAGAGGCTTGTGCACGAGTTAACTTCCTATGTGGGATGATAGGAATGGATCTTTTGGTGTGAGGAAGAGAGGGGAAGAGGGGCCAGCTCTCCACTGGTTTGGAGTGGAGGAGGAGGTTGCTGCCCTTCATGATCGACTGGTTTGGTCTGGAATGGAGCCAGACCGCCTGAATTGCATGTTTGTGGGTGGAGAAGAAGAGCGGATATCAGTTTGAGATTGTGCTGGTGCGTAATCTTGGGAGTTTGAGGATGCCACTTCGAGTTTCAGGGAGTTGTAAAACTATGGTAGGCGGGAGATTGGCTGGTTCGACAGCTTTCCTGAGGTCTCAGACTTCTGCTGATAGCTTGTCTCTCACAATAATTCTGTCTCCACCTTTCCCTTGTCTCTCCCAACCATTCTGCCGGCTGCAGGACTGCCAAGAGCTCACCGATGTGGAGAGAGCGATTGAAATTGTCATCAACAACTTTCATTGTTACGCTGTGAAGGGCCGCAAAGAGTGCCTTACCCCCAATGAGCTGAAGGAGCTGGTGGGTCAGAGGCTCCCGCATTTGTCCAAGGTGAGGAGAGCAACCCGGCCAATCCATCAGGTGGCGCGAGGCAGCCGTGGGGGTGGGGAGCAAAGCTGGGGGGCTTCATGCCTACATTGCCCTACATCCAAAATGAGGGGTGGGCAACCCGGCACACTCCAGAAGTTTTGGATGGAAACTCCCATCATCCACGACCATTGGCCGTGCCGGCTGAGGCTAGTAGGAATTTAGTCCAAACATCCAGAAGGTGCCAGATTGAACCTCCTCAGGTCAGGAGGCGATTGTAAGCGATCGTGTACCTGCTCACCTGTGCGTTTGGGGTTTGACGGCTGCTGCATTTGCTCTTGCGCCATATGAGTGAATGGGACAAAACGCGCTGGTTCGCTCAGATGGAACAGGAAAGCATCAGGTAGATCCGGTTTCCTGTCGCTTTGGGGAAGAAGAAAAGACTGGAAAGGGCATCGGGAAATATCCAGGCTCCCTGTAAAAAAAATCCATAAATGAAGCTGTGGGAATGCACAGCAGAAGTCCCGTCTGAAAGGATCTTCTGGCTGGAAATGATCCTTCAGAGCAGCATCTAGAGGGGTAAAAGGTCTGCTGAGATTAAGGAGGCTTTAGATGCTTGTCCAAAATGGCTGCCCACATTTTGGAGGGCTGTCATTTGGGTGGCTTTAAGAGAGGATTGGATACATGCCCGGAAGAGAAAGCTCTCTGTGGCTGGTAGTCTTGGTGGCTAGAGGTCATCTCCGGAGTCAGTCTGCCTATGTCCACCAGTTGTGAGGGAACATGGGTGTGGGAGTGCTCTTGCACTCAGGCCCTGCTTGTGGGCTGTTGGTGAGCTGCCCTCTGAAGAGAATGCCTGACCAGGTGAACCCTTGGCCAGACCCAGCAGGATACTGGGTATGTTCTCAAGAGCAAAATAAGGGGAACCCTTGGAAGATTTGCATACAAAGCTTCCTGCATTCGTGTATATGCATAGATGCAAATCCAGGAACTGATATTATATTTAGAACAGAATACATCTCGCCACAGTGTGAAAGGTTGTGACCAGGTGACCTACATACCTTGCTCTGTCTGCAGTCCAGGTGTTGTGGATCGGCAGCTTCAAGGTCCAACTGTTCCTTCCGATGGTCCTTTATTTTTAAACCCGACAGGGACTGGACAGTCTTCCACCTGGAGGAATCCTTCAAAACAGAGGATTACTCTCAGTCCTAGAGGACAGGTGGTCACTCTGCTTCGGGTTCACCATTGAAAAGGTCCTCTCATACCTATGTTGTGGTAGACAGGTTCTGTAGACCTTCTGTAGACCAGAAGAAGACATTGCCGGGTCCATGGTCCCTCTGCTGAGTTTTGATGGCTCTCTCTTCTCAATGCAGGGTGTCGGGACGCTGGATGAGAAGATTGAGTGTCTCGGAGATAATGACGAGGCCAAACTGCAGTTTGGGGAGTACTGGGATATCATGGGAGATGCGGCCAAAGGGTGCAGAGTCCCAGGACAGAAGAAGTAACCTGCACCAAGGGAAATCAGAACCACAAGACCTCGGATCGTTTACAGAGAAAAGTAAAGAAAAAAGACAGTCCTTTCATGATGTCAATGAGTTGTCGACGCAGTGTTAATATTTGGGGGACTCCCTCTAACTTCTTCCCTCCCCCAGTTCTGGAAGATCAAAATCTAGAGCTGATCTCTTGTCCTTCAAGGGAAGGGCCTTCCGAGTTCTCAACCTGCCCCTTGAGTTTGCTCTAGAAAAACACTAGGAGCAAGCCTTCCAGAATCGTGACATTCGGGGTTCCTGAACACTCAACTCTAGAACCTTCAGAGAGGTTTTGCTGGGTGAGCTCTGGAACCCAAAGAGTGCATTTTAACATGTAGTCTAGAATGCTCTTGACTCCATTTTCAGACTGTAGGTTTTCAGGGTCTGATTGCAGGATCTGCAGGGCAATACTGGTCTCGTTTGCATACCAGTTCATTTGCAACCATCAAATTCCACCTCTAGATCTATGAAGCACTAAATCCCTTACTCTAGATCCCTCAAACACTGTGTTTTCCCTCTTTTTTCTAGATCTGGAACTCAGAATCCTAAAATGTTTTGCTCCGGGTTTTTTTTTTTTTTTTTTACTTTTTAAGAAATTGAAACCACAAATGTAAAGTTTTGCTCTCCCCAGATTTAGGAGTGTTAAAGAATGTCTCAAATCAAATATGTTTCTGTTTGTCTTCAGGTCAAAATGATGAGTTTAACTGATCTTTTCATTCACCACATCAGCATAACATGGATGACTTGGGTTGGGTCAAAGAGCGGAATTAGGGCCTGTCCTCCAAATTCACAAAGAGACTGTGCCACGCAGTGCCTAAACTGGGGGTGTTGAACGTCAGAACTGTGGGCCAACTATAGCATACCTGTTCTCTTCCGGGGTTCTCCAGGTGTCTACACCTCTTCCCCAAGCCCACATCCTCGGCCACCACCACCACTGCTGCTGGTGCCTTCATCTCCCATGCTTAGTCACTAGAACAAACACTTCAGGGTGAAATATGCTGGCATTTCTGGCCTCGCTGCATTTGCTTTGGGCCCTATCCACCACTGGAACGCGGCCCCCGAGTGCTTCTCCGGAATGGAAGCCCTTGCTGTGGCTGGAAGTGGCTCGGCATCTCTGCCTCATGCCTTGGCATTTGGAAATCAGAGTGGATTTGTCCGGACAAGCAGGGGCTGGCAAAGGAGAGACGCTGTGGAGGTGAAGGTGGGTGGGTCGAGTCTAGGCTCATTGTTCAGTACTTGTTCAACCACAGGGAGGAAGATGGAACAACTATGAATAGAAACGGAATGACGATGCAGAGGCTTCCTATTGACAGCCAACTCGCCTAACAAGCTACACTGCTGGGAAAGCCTGTAGTAACTTGCACCTTGACTAGAAGAGCTGGCAGCTCCAGGCTCAGCGTCTAAACCTGACCAGTTTTTAGTTCTCGCTCTGCCCCGTCCACCAGAATCCCAGCCCGGCTTTGCTTCCAAGCCCCTGGGCCTGGGGCTCTCATGGCCAAGGGAGCCTCCTTTGACTCCCATGTCAGGATTCGATGCATTCGGAGGAAAAGTGAGACCCTCCTTCACTTCTTCCCAGTCTGAGGCAAACATGTCCATCTTGGTAGAGCTGGAGAGGTCCTAAATATCTAAGTTGATGTTGTGCATTTGGAGCCGGAAAGTCACATCACCGGTTGCTTTGGAGTGGAACTTCCCAGTTGCCACCTTTTGGGGAGGGAAGCAAAGTCTAATAGTTTGAGCAAGAGGCGAGGAGTTAGGACTTTCTATGATTCTTGGCCTTGAGGGGAGGGGAGGGGGGGTATGGTGGGAGATAAACAGCCTAAATCCCAAACTGATTTGGGCTCCATGGATCATCAACTGCACAGCTTCGGACTAGTCACATGGGTTCAGGGCTTACTCATTATGAATTCTCATGTTCTTTGCCAGATCGTTTTGTAGAAACTGATGGAATAAAAAGAGGAAAAATGCAAGAAAAACATAATCAAATGCTTTGCGGCTTGTTCTTGTTCGCATCTTGTTCGCATCTCAATGGGGCTGTTGGGGTTTGTACTCCTCCATCTGGAGGCAAGACCGTCCGCAAGATACCCGGATAGGGTGGAAATGTTACGTAAAATGTGTCCATCAGAACCATGCCTAGGTTTGGCCTGTTTGCCGCTGCACAAAAATGTTAACACAAGTGTGTTATTTTAATGAGTGAAACTGGGAAGAATTTTAAACCGTAGCTAGATTAAAATCTGGCAGAAATTAAAATCTGGAGAAGATTGCTGGTGGTCCTTAGGTCAGGGGTCTGCATTTCGACACCCATCGGCAGAACCCACAGGAACTGCCAACAGTGCTCACAAAACTCTCCCTTCCCTGCCCCTTTCAATTAATTATTTGAAGAAAAGCTTTGGATAATGTTGGGTCAGTCTTTCTTCTCCCCGCATCTAGCCTCTCCCCATGTTTCTTCTCACCCGCTACCTTCGCCCCCTTAATTCATTTTTGGAAGACAAGTCCCTGTGGTCTATTATGGAACTAGCCACATGCATTTTTAAAATTCCCAAATATGCCCAAGGGTCCAAACGTTGGGGAACTTCTGGCCTACTTGGGCTTCTGATGGAGATTGTGGCTCCACATTCAAGAACAGATCTTCTGTTTTACATGGAGATGTTCGCAAGTTCAGTCTGCACCATCTCGTTTTGCTTGCTTTTTAAAGAAATCAAGCCACAGCTAAGTGGAGAAACTCACTCATTCTGCATTTTAATGTAGACTTACCTAATTTCAGACACGTACACTAATATTCTAATTGCGGCTCAGTTCAAGTGTTCACTCAGCCATAAAGCTCAACAAGTGAGTTGGGGTTCATCACAGACTCACAGCCTGGCCTACCTCCCAGGGTTGTTGTGAGGATGAGGAGGAGAGGAGGAAGATGATTATGGAAGCCATCTTGGCTCCTTGCCGGGAAAAAAGTGGTATGCGTGCCTGTTCATTTTTTAATTTTTTTTTACATTTATTTATTTAAAACTTTTCTGGACCATCCCTTACCGAAGTCTTAGGAAGGTTTAACAATACAAAATGTAAAATAAAACATAGCATCTTAAAAATTCAACTAACAATAAAACCCCAATCAAAACAATCAGATGTTGAAACATTGGGAAAATAAAAAGGGTTTAGCCTGGCACCAAAAAGAATACAGTGATGGCGTCAGGCGAACCTCTCTGAGGAGCGAATTCCACAATTGGGGTGCCACCACAGAGAAGGCCCTTCTCCAGGTAGCCACCCTTCTAACCTCCTTCAGGGAGGGCACCCGGAGAAGGGCATCTGCCCCAGATCTTAAGAGGTGGGCAGGCATGTATGGAAGGGGATGCTCCTTCAGGTAACCAGGCCCTAAGCCGTTTCGGGCTTTATAGGTGATCACCAGCACCTTAAATTGGGCCTGGGCTTCAACTGGAAGCCAGAGTAGGTGGAAAAGAACTGGCGTTGTATGTTCATACCTGCCGGTCCCTGTTAACAACCTGGTGGCTCTGTTCTGGACCAGTTGAAGTATCTGGACCGTCTTCAAGGGCAGCCCCACATAGAGCATGTTACAGTAGTCTAATCAGGAAAATCTCAAAATTCGGGGTGAAAAAACTGGAAAATGAGAAACGGGGAGAAAGCCAAATCAACAGGTTCACCACCTGTGCTAGCAAGGCATGTGAAAGTCCTCCCTTTGCCAGAAAGCCAGGAAAAATGTCGGCATCTTATAAAAATGTGCAGACTGCATCTCTTCCCCTGCAGGTAGAAAAATAGCTGGGGATGAAGATGCTGAGATGGTAGATTCATGAAGGGGTGAGGAACCTGTCGGCCATGCAGATGCTCTTGGATATTTTATTTTATTTTATATTGTTACTTATTTTATATTGATATTTTTATATTGTTATTTTTTGTATTTTATTTCATGTTGTGAGCCGCCCCGAGGCTTTGGCGAATGGGGCGGCATAGAAATGTTTTAATAAATAAATAAATATGCTGCCTGGGGCTGATGGGATCTGTCCAGGAACATCTGGAGGATCACAGCCCTGGAAATAAAAGGTTAAACGGCTTCTCTCACTCCTTGGCTCTCAAGAGCAGTACAAATGACTGCTTCAGTGCTGGTTTTATTAAAAAGGTGCAAGAAAACACAACTCCAGAGTTCCAGGAAAATCGCTCTTCCTCCTCCCTGTGGAAAAATTACCCTAGTTATAGCCTACCTTGGAGGGCTGTTGTAAAGAGAAACCAAAAAACATTTACAGTTTGCGGAAAATCAAGCACTTTCTTGTAGGGCTCATGTGTGTGTGTGAAAGAGACAGAGTAGCTCCTTCTCCAAGCACCAACCAGTAGGGAAGTGGGCAGGGGGAGAGGGTGAAAGTGAATGGCAGGGCCTTCTCTGTGTTGGCACCCCATCTCTGGAACATACTCACTAAGGTCTGCCTGGCACAGTCACTGTTTTTCTTTCGGCGCCAGGTGAAGACCTTTCTGTTCACCAGAAGTTTTAACAACATTGCTTTATGCGAACTGTTTTCTCAATTCCACCACGAGTTGTCCACCACGAGACTCTATTTGGCTTTAAATCATTGTATTGTTTGCAGTGCTTTTGCGCTTTCTGTGTTTTTTATCTGTAAACCACCCTGACAGCCCCAAAGGCTATGGGGCGGCATTGTTATTCAGTCGCAAAGTCGTACCCGACTCTCTGTGACCCCATGGACAACCTTCCTCTAGGCTCTCCTGTCCTCCACTGTCCCTTGAAGTCCCTCCAAGCCCACACCCACCGCCCCAGGGGCCCCATCCGGCCATCTCATCCTCTGCCGTCCCCTTCTCCTTTTGCCCTCAATTGTTCCCAGCATCAGGGTCTTCTCCGGTAAGTCTTTCCTTCTCATTAGGTGGCCAAATATTTGACCTTCATGGAGTGGCATAAAAATGTAATAAACAAATAAATAATTTTCTGCGGCTGAGCCAGAAGATCTCCTGAGTGTTGCTCTCTCT